ACTATCTTTTATTGGTTTCATCTGTGCTTTGTTGACCTCTTCCCGGATAGTAACCTGGTTATTTGATACAATTATGTCTGGTCTCTCCTACCTGCAGCTTGTTCTGATTCACTTGCCAGTGTGCCGTAGAAGTGTCTTTTATCTTTGCGGGTACTCATCTTCACTTCTTTGTACGGAGTTTTGTACATTGCGCTCAGTTCTTCCCTTCATTGTGCATCCTTGCATTGCTTCATATTCTGCTTCACCATCTCTATCAGCCTCCATGTGTTCATGGAGATCCATTCCTTGTCTTGTTTCCTCTTCCTGCCTAATGTGGTCATGCAGGTTCCCTTCCACGTGTCTTTCACAGAGTTCCAGTGTTCTTCCACGCCATTTCCTTCGGGGATGTTGCTCAGTGTCTCCCACTTCTTCCTGATGGCTGACTGAAGTGAAGATGTCTTTTATAGTTTCGTCCTTCTGTTTCTGTTCTGGGTGGGTGTTGAGCTTGAACTGTGGTCTATCACCAGCTTCTGTGAAGGCTTTCAACTTGATTTTGAAGGTTCCTTGCACTGGATAGTAAGTTGCGTGAACCTACATCTGCTCCCCTTCTTGATCTTGTGTCCAGTAGGCGTACTGCGTCTCCACTTTCTTCACAATGAGATGAAGTTGATCTGGTTTTTAGTGTAGTGTGTACTGGTGTCTGGTGAAATCAACTCCATGTCGCTCGCTTTGTGGATATCCTCGTGTTTGTACACAAAGCCTTCAATCACCAAATCGTTTAATGTGCAGAAATCTGCGAACAGTTCTCCATTCTCATTCATCATTTCACCGAGTGTTTCTAGAGCCATGATTGGTTCTTTTCCTGCGTTGTCTGCTCCCAGTTCGGCATTCATCTCACCCCACCCATTGGAGTTTTAATGTCGCCAACTGGGGTGGGTTCCTGTCCAGTACTGATCCAGTTGTCTGTAAAATTCCTCCTTCTTCTCTTGGTCTACGTTATTTGTTGGCGTGTAGCATTGAATGATTGTGACTTTCTTTCCTTTTGATTTGAACCTTGTTGTCATGATTCTGCAGGAGGAGGTTGGTTCCCACTACATGAGAGCCTTTGATGCTCTTGGAGACATCATGATAGCCACTCGAAAACTCAGTGTGCTCGTGGTTGTCGTTTGGGTGACAATATCGGAGTAGATTATTGTCCCTCCAGTTAACAGTTTGCAGAGAAAACTTCCATTCCATCAGCTCTTGCAGATTCCTAGCACTTCTATGCCATACCTTCTCATCTCTTTTGCAGTCTGGGCAGCCTTTCTACGTTCACACATTTTGCAGACATTCCACGTCACCATTTTTTATCGGGGGAAGAGAAGACACATCAGTCAACTGTCTTCCCGAAGGCTTTCACCAACCGGTGCCATATCGTCTCCTCGATTCCAGCAAGGAAGAAGTTTGTTTTTACTTTTATAATTTTTTCGTGCTTTAGAGTTTTTATAGCGACCGGATTGGCTTAGATGGGTTAGGGTTGCTAGCCGTATGCAAAACCTTCGCTGTTTATCCGGGCTTAGGACAGGCTGTTAACTAGTGAACTAGGCGAACACACAAAATGAATGCGAAGAGAAGAATATGCGTGATGTATGGTGGATACAGAATCCCTTTCTCGACGAAGGATGTACAGGGAAGTATAATTAAGACAATGAATATGAAACTAATGTAATGTAACGTATTCGATTACGGAATCGAACGAAAAGCAAACAAATGACAGATAATTGCACTAAGAAGTTGTTCAGTCAATATCCAGAATGTACAGTTCAGAGTTATTGATATAATTTATAATCAGACGGACGGAGTGGCAACAATCTCCACTAGGCCCTGTCCTGGCTAATACCTTTATGGCAAAGCTCGAAAGTGGGCAACTTAAAGAAATAATTTTGGAACTTTATTTGTATAAAAGGTACATGGACGACACTTTTCTTATTTGCGACGAAACATGTTCAGTGGACAAGCTGCTAAGAAGTTTCAATGATTGTCACCCGTCCATTTAATTCACTGTTCAGGAAGAGTTAAACGCATCGTTCCACTTTCTAGACACAATGTTAAACAGAAGGCATCACGGCTCGATTCAAAGGTCAGTCTATCGAAAACCGACTCGGACCGGTCAGTTCACTAACTTTTATAGTTGGGTACCTCTTAGTTGTAAGAGAAATCTCATTCACTCACTCACTCTGTTCCAGAATCCAAAGAATATGTTTAGAGGATACGGTGGATGCTGAAATCGAAACTCTCAGTACAACACTATCTAATAACCGACCGATACCCTGAAAGAATTATTGATTAGAATCTGAAGAAATGAACCACTTCCCATTCCATTCCAACCCCTAAGAAAATTTCAGCCATGAATCTAGAATTCAAAGGAGACACCACAGTCGAGGTGCTGAAAAATCGTCTGTCAATATGTATCAATAGTAGCTTCTATGCTGCTAGACTGAGATTGATATTTTCCAGCCACCGTCTGATTCGTCAATGCATGAAAGATAGGCTTCCACTTATGTCCACATCTATGTGTATCTACAAGTTCACATGTTCCTGTGGAGCTGACTATATTGGACGTTGTACGTGGGCCCTCCGAAAACGTATTGCTGAACACTACCCCGTTGGGCTTACCAGAAGCGAGCAAAGGAAAACCACTTCATCCATATGTGAACACCTTGTTGAATTGGCACACTCAGCACCTCGAGATTCATCCTTGAAGGTAATTTACAAAAGTCTACGTTTTCGCCACTTATGCATAGCAGAAGCATGAGCCATACATAAACATACAACCGAGGCTTTGAATAAGAAAAAGTTTTGTGAAATCACTTTCTCTACCTTGACAATTCCTTCTTGATTTCTTTTATCAATTTCATTTCACTTTGGTATACTTTAGTTTTATTATCATTACGAAATCCCTTATGGTTTTTTACTCTGATTATGTAAAAACCTGGTTGGAAATTAAAAACGAGGATATACGTGTACTTCAGGCAGACCTGAACAGCTTGTTTACCTTGTCATAGAAGTGGTTGTTGCCAGTCAAAGAAGGCAAATATGTGAGCATGCACTTCGGGCGCTCACACAGCAACATCTACGATATTGATACGACTCATCTAACGTCAGAACTGACCCATAATGACGTAAAAGTTACAGTGAACTATGATTTGAAAACCACGGCACACTGTCGATTGGCAGCGGCTCGGAGCTTTAGGACACTTTGAGCACTACGTCGAACGTTTACATTTGTTTGAAAGGTGATGCAAACCTTGTAGAAAGAGTTCACGGGACAGCCACTTGTATGACCCCTGAGATGACTGGGCTCACCTATGATGATAGGATTGAGGAGCTGAACATCTTCACATTATCCTATCGCAGACACGGGGGGAAGATCTAATCATCCTATACAGGATTGTAAGAAATGACTTCAAACTTGATTTTTCTTTTCTTTTCCTTCCTACTAGGTCTGAATACCTCGGAATAGATGGTAGGAGGCTACAAAAGCAAAGAACGAACATAGCCTCCGCAGAGTACTGGTTCTCACGTCAAGTATTCAACTCCTGTAACCAATTTTCAGAAGAAGTAGTGTCCGCATCATCAATCAACTCGTTCAAAAGGGGATTGGATAAGCACAGAAATCTACTGGAAAAGGTTTAATATGGGCTCCCAACCTTTTATCCTCGAACAACAAATCTCAATCACCATTTTTCACTTCATTAACAACATTTGACCCTTATTTTACTATTACTATTACTATTAATATCAATTCCTTGCCTTATTCATTCATCCATTTTACATACTTCAGTTAAATTATCACCGTTTTGCACTTGTCCCTTATCCCACCAATGGTTATCTCATTTTTTTCCTTATCCAGTAACCAATTTTGTATTTCTTCCACTTGAGCAAACTCAACCACCAACATCCATTGTATATTTTACATGTTGACTGAGCAACTGTTTTAGTGCAGTTATCTATCATTATTATTATCATTTTTCCCTTGGGTTCCTAGTGGAACATAGGGCTTCAGTAGCACACCACCACTTCACTCTCTTCTCGTCAGTCTTCCTAACATGACAACCACCATTGCTCACAACCTTTCGTTTCTTTCTCACACCAGCTCTTCTACGTCACTCTCAGACGGCCTACTCGTCGTTTCCCATTCGGGTTCCACTCGACATCCTCGCCTGATGCGTGATGTTCTCAAATGGTCTACTCAGTGTATATCCAGTCCAACCCATCTCCACTTTCTACTTTTGCATATCTGTTGGGTGATAGGTTCTTGGTCGATTGGTTCGTCGCCAGGCTACCCTTCCTTCTTGATTATTCTTTCTGGCCATCTGATCTGGTCTTCAGTATCAAACATAGGTGACAGCTGTTCATATATGTCAGCAGTTTGTTAGAAATGCTTCGTTTTATAATCATTTGACAGCCCATATCTGTTATCTTATTTTGCTCCTCTTTATTCACTGACTCATTTTCTATTTCTTCCACTTGAACAAATCCCACACCTAATGTATATTGACTGAGGAATTCACTTTTCAGTGTAATTACCTATCATTTTACCGAGTATAAATACGATGACTGTACAGCTTGATAATGAAATCGTGGAAAAGAAATGCTTCTTCTCCGTTGATGTATATCTTGTTCTTTCTTATCCATGGCACCGATACATGAAGTCTCTGACTGTTGGTTTAAGTCATGTAGAGCGATGCAGACTAGGTGGTTGAGGTCTGTGGGACAAGAGGAACCAGTGATTGGAGATTCTAGGTGATGACATAGCTCAGAACCGATGTCAGTGTCGCAGATGTATCCCCACACACATTATCCTCATCTTAACGACACTATACCGATTCTCATCATTTTCTCATTCTTCCTTTCTTTCTTCTCGTACTTTATATTTCTTCTGACTGCATTCTCGTGTCTTCTTGTTGCACCTCACTATCACCTTTTTACTTGATGTACTGGTATGAGCTGTGGCAACTCGGGACCGTTACGAGTAATGTCTGGTCGTATGCTGATATTGATTGATTGGTTGTATATTTTATCAGTCAAACAAACAAACAAATAACAACAGACAAAAGAAGGATAAAACAAGTCAGTTTACTGTGTTTTTCATCTCTCTTATAACGAAGAAATAAAAATAGAGGAGTTAATAATAAATAAACGAGTTACTGTTTGGATAAAAGAAAAGGAATGATAATGATGATTAATTGAAAGGAATGTTGAAGTCGAATGAAAATCAAATATTAAATTTAAGTTACAGTTAAAAACAAGAAATTTTATTCCAAGACAGAACATTATGATTATTATCATTAGTAGTAATAGTGTGAGTAGTAGTAGTAGTGTAGTGTAGTGAGGGTCGCTGATAAGAACGGATATAAGTAGTATATGTTGAGAGGGTAGCAGAAACCATAGGGAATTACCAGCAATGGGTAAGGATTCTGCCAAGAACAACGCGAAGGAAAACGCAAGGCAGAATCCCTACCCATTGCTGAAAATTCTCTATGATTTCTGCCACCCTCACAACATATACTACTTATATCCATTCTTATCAGCGACCCTCACTACAGTGGTAGTAGTAGTAGCAGTAGTATTATCCTTTTTCATACATTTAATAACTTTCTGATCCAGTGAATACACGATCCAAGTCTAAACTGGCCAATAAACCTTCAATGAGAGTTAAAAAACGACCTAATGATTCAATAAAACGTCCAGCATCCAATTTCAATTGGATATATGATTCAGGATAACGAATCAATGGGGATTCATTGAAAGACTCAGGCAATGATTCTGGATTATCCAATAACAATAAATCCAGCAAATACAATTGTGATGGAAGTGATTGAATAATCACCTAGAAGAAGAAGAAAGAGAGAGAGAGAAAAAAAAGAAAAATTATAAACTGTTTAGGGTTGTGGGAAACAGTAATCCTTGATTATGATTGAGAAGTTTACGGAGACGACTATTATTCAATGATTCATGGATTCGAACACCGGACTCCAACTACGAAGGTTTATGCTCTCAAGTAGGTACCATTAGCTCTCAAATAGATAATAGATATGGCTCATTGCCACTTCCAATGTGATATGAAAACAGAGATGAAGATAATGACCAACTCTCAGAAAGTGATAAGAAACGATCAGTGGATCTCGACAGCTTCTTCTGGATTATCTAATGTACGCGAACGGATACCTTGGGGCTTTGAGTATAATGAGGCGAGAAAAGAACTCAAATGTAAGCTGAAAAAAAAATCTACGGAACGATAGGGAACAGTGATGCTTAGCGAAGGTTAAACAGATGGAAAAGGCAGTGATGATAGTTATCAGCATATATTAATTCAGAGTAATTAGAAAAACTGGTGAAAAAAAAATGAATGGTTCGAGAGACTGTAGAGAACAAGCAAACCTCTGTGATTATCTTGCCAGTGAAACGACTGGAAAGATCAGTGGAACACTTCGAGAAACAGTTCAGTCGGTCTGCAGGTCATGTCCTGTTGTACGCTGTCCAGTTGAATTCGGAATGGAACATGATCCCCAACACTTGGATAAATCGAGAACGACATAAGGACCAAATGAGTTGGCTACCGAGATATACAACGACGATGGTCACCGATTATTAGTCACGTTAACTGAAGGGATAGCTAGTATATGCGATTCAGATATGATCCACTCATTATCTCAGTCGTCAAGATAGGTGAGAATTACTCATGTGATAACTATATGAAGCATCAGCCTGACGAACGTGGTGTCTAGGACTGTATAATTATTAGACGTCTACATAAATCTCGTGAATAGTGAACCCAAGGGAAGCAGGTAGGCTTCCAAAACTAGCAGTGAATGTATCAACAAGATACTCACCCTTCACCAGATTCTGCAATGAACGCACACCTACCAACGTCCAAAACTAGCTGACGACCTAAGGGTGATATTGAACTTCGGTAACCAAAGAGAAATGTTATGGCTGTTTTTCACTAAAAACAGATGCCGAGTAAGTACATCAGAGGTTACATCAAGAGAAGAACTAGTTGAAGTCACATCAGTTGACGAAAGTGCACAACCTTGCCAACTGAGTTGCCTTCCTGACATATTACCCTTCACCTAACCTCTATGCTGTTCGCACAATCACTCCACCATACCCCAGCAATGTATAGAAGATACCTGGGATCAAAATCTTATAATCGCTTCATGTCTTCTACTTCAAACGGTTATGTCTCACAACCTTATAATAAGGATAAAACCGACTGAAGCGAATTATACTTATCCTTTAATAGGTAATCAGATATCTCATCAGTTGGCGTCACAGGTGACGCAGATTGACAAGTATTGAATAGGCCTATTGTATCTGAGCTGAGATTTCATTTGTAACCAGTTCATTTAAGCTGACACAACTCCCCAAATGATCAGCGCATTCTACCACTTAATTCACTACCTATCCTTAAACTGAGAATAGTTGCAGACAATGCTTGGAGCATCACGTTACGTTTAACAGGTGGGTAACACGTGTCAAATATACTCAGATTTCAGCTCAACACATTGAGAAGATCCTGAATTTTGTCAGTATCTGCATGTAGTACAACACTACCGTCTGGGTATTCCAGGCCAGCCTAATGGCAGCCTTGTGAAGTCAGACGTACCTAAAGCTCTGTCCATTATTACATCCATAACGAAGTTAAACAGTAACGGTGATATCTGGCATCCCTGGGAGATATTACACTAGTTATCATCAATTCACCAAGTAAACTGTACAGAAATAAAGAAATTTAATACAGGAATAAAAGCAACTTACCATAGCCATACCTCTTACAGACCATGAATGAAAAGGTCGTAAACATCGGGTGTACGCTTCATTTGCAATGGAGACAAGACTTGTATCCGAAGTGGAAATCAGTGTAGATGGATCAGGTGAACAGAAGAGATGATGTAGAAATTCTCTGACAAAATTGAGACATCTAAAATATTGATTATTAAAATAAACAAAAACAATGACTTCGGATAAAGTTGTTTTTAGCAACATTTCATAAATTCAGAGTGATAGCAATGCTTTAGGTAACCCCGTCGACATCATCACGACATTATGGGTGAACGGTTCAAATACTGATACCCTATATCAGTACAGTAAGATAGATAAATAGAGGGGAACGTAATCCAAGATCATCATCATCAATATCAACATAGGATCAGGCATTACTGCGTAACGGTTCGAGTTACCACAGCTCATATAACCACACCAAGCAGAAAGGTAGTGAGGTGAAAGATGAGGACAAGAGAATGCAGTCAAAAGAAACATAAGGTAGAAGAAGAAAGGAAAGAGGAATGACAAAGTGGTGAGATTCGGTATAGTGTCGTTAAGATGAGAATAATGTGTGTGGGGATACATCTGCGCCACTGACTTCGGTTCTCCCCCATATCATCTACAGTCAGTCTCCAACCACTAATTCTTCCTGACCCACGGACCCCAACCACCTAGTCTGCATCCCCCCACCACATGACTCAAACCAACAGTCAGAGACTTCATACATTGGTGGCATGTTTTAGTCTGGCGGCCTCAGGCCTTTTTCCAGCCTGCACCTATTTCAGCCAACATTGTATGACGAGGCAATCGACGACTAGGCATACATATTACGTGTCCCAAACATCTCAATAGATGGAGGTTCATAACCTCGTCAACTGATTTACCTCTGCTCCCAACTAATGTATTACTCACATGGTGATATCACGGAATACGGCTTACACTATGAAGGCAACAGTGGTCAAACACTTGAAGCCTTCTTATATCTTCCACCTTCAATGGCCATGTTTTACAGCCATAGAGTAGAACAGAGCGGACTGCTGTGCAGTACACGCTACCCTTAATAGGTGGAGCAAGGCTCAAAAGCAGGACTCATGCACTGATTTTCCTCTCCTCCCTAAAATTATACACTTAACTTCTGCGTTACTGACGTGGGTAACACCACAACGCATCACCTATGCTACGAAGGCATTGGTCGTCGAATACTTGAAGCCTTTTCATGCCCTCTACATCTAATGGTCATGTTTCACAAAAATACAGTAGAATAGAGCGAACTGCAACTCAATAAACTCAACGTATAGGCAACTCACAACATTAAAGGCCATATGTGTAGAACTTTGGTGGAAGAAAACTAATCCCACCTAATGATGAAACAAAATATTGTACTAACTAATAATATAGTAGTAACAATACCAACAGTAGCTACATATGTATGTCACTAATCTCTACCAAACAATAAGATTGATGAAGAACCGCAGTAACAGTGAAACTTGGTTAACAGCTGAATTTCCTTGTTCACTTAGGTGTGGAGCACAGTGTAGACACAATAATACCAGTATTAAAAAGTGGATGAACAAAAGAGATGGATTTTACTTCATACACATTTTCTGGAGGCATCAATTATGCATAGAGATTGTCTATCGAACTCAAATCAAAGAGTCTACATTTTCCTTTGAAGTTCAAGTTAACAGTATTATACATTCCGAATTGGATGGGAGAATTTATTCTTCCGAGTATAATAATCAATTAATTAAGAAGTAGTATTCATTATTGACTGACATCAGTTGGGGAACTATTGAAAATCTGGGAGCACTGGACAGCTGTTTCGTCCTAGTATGAGACTCCTCGGCAGTACGCACCCACGACACCACCAGGGATCGAACTCAAAAAATACATTACTGTATAGTGCTCATTAGTGACTTGCTTCCAGATGGATGTCGTGAAGTTCTAAAGAGAAGCCGTGACCTGTGCGGTTAACCAGTCGGAAGCGAAGTGGATGCTAACTGAAGACATTGGGTGACAGTCACGCTATGTCGTGAATTGACAAAAGTTGGAAATTGTGAACCACGGAAGGCAGACACAGTGACTGAATGGTTAACGCGTTCACCGTGAAACCTGAAGGTCCTGAGTTCGATCCCTAGCCGGGTTGTGGGTGCGTACTGCTGAAGAGTCCCGTACTAGTTGGACGAAACAGCTGTCCAATACTCCCAGATTTTTAATGGTTCCCCAACTGATGTCAGTCCATGATGAATACTACTTCCAAATTAAAAATTCCCATTCATCTCAAAAATAAATTAATGAATTCACAAAAAACACGTGAGTATGTATACACATGAAATATGACCTTGTCCAGAAAATGAGACATTAATATAGTAAGGATTAACCAATCAGCGAATCACCTTGAAAATAGGGGCAGGAAATAAACTACTACTGCCTATAGTGTAGAAAAAATTGCGTGAAAATGACAATTAAAAATAATGTTGAAATTGATAAAAGATTTTTATGTTAAACTGAAGGCTTCCAACAAACAATCAGACATTTTACTTCCACCTTGATTTCTACTCAAACTTTTTACTACGTCTTGAAGCAGAAATCAATAGATTATTCAGTTAATGTTATTCCTTTACCAATAAATTTGTATTATATAACCTCCAAATAGCTCACAGTTGACCCAGTAGGAACAGTAAGACAAGTTAATAGTTCAAGATTGTTGATTTGGGGGACTCGAAACTACTATTCTGCCAAACCACAGCTCCCCCTATTTAATTCAGTTACATTTCGGCTGCGATGAGAAGTCCTGATTGAGGGTAGTCAGTGTCAGTACGATCTAGCAGTCGTAACCCGTCACGAATTCATATGGTAGTCGGATAGTCTTGGTGATTGAAAATCTGGTTACCAGTCAGGCCTTATAGCTCAGTTGGCAGAGCAACGGGTAGGAAACCCGATGGTCACTAGTTCGAATTATCATTTCACCTTCAATCTTCACTCAGTATGTCAATATTATACTATCTCCGGTAGTCAAAGTGATGATAAACACTATTATTATTGTTATTATTTCAATTTTTATTATCTAAGGACAACAGCAGACAAGCCCACACCACTATTGCAGAAGGTTTGAAGGAAAGGTACCTGGCGATTGGAAGAAGGGCCATATTGTTAAACTCCCAAAGAAGGGAGACCTAAGGTAAGTCATTGCAAAAACCTGCACGGAATCATGCTCCTGTCCACCTTAAGTGAAATAACAAGCTGCATCTTTCTGGTGAGACTGAAGGATGAGCTGGATTCAAAATTACGACCGCAACAGGCTGGCTGGATTCAGGAAAAACAAATCAAGTGGGGATCAAATTGCAACGCTACACTGCTTATCATCATAGAACAGAGCATAGAATGACAGTCAACTCTCTACCTCAACTTTATCGACTTTGAAAAGGCCTTTGACAGCGTCGACCGAGAAGTAATTCGGCAGTTGCTTCAACACTACAGTTTTAGTGCCAAAAATATTTATCAACGTCATTCAACAGCTATATGACGACACCACATGTCAAGTGATCCACAATGGAAAGCTCAGCTCAGTGATACCTTTGAAGTGAAGAGAGGAGTAAGACAAGGCTGTCTACTATCACCGATGATCTTCCTGATTGTGATTGACTGGGCCATGCAATAAACTGTGAGGAGAGAGAAGATGGGCGTACGCTGGCTGGACCGATGAGATGAGCCAATGATGATTATTTATGTCTAAAGCCGCACAAAGTCGAAGATATACAGGCGAAAACTAACAAGTTGACAGAAGAGGCAGGGCACGGCAGGGCAGCGAAGACGGCACTCCCTTCAAGTGAACGTAGAGAAGATACAGGTGATGAAGATACTCAACCAACACCACCACCATCAACAACAAACTCCAATCACCATCAACGGGAAAAACTTAAAGGAAGTAGCCTCCTTCACCTATCTAGGCAAGGCAGCATCGTTTCAATTACAGGCGGCGGTGGCACAGACGAGGACGTCAAATCAGCCAGAATCTGGAAGACCGCAAGATAGGCCTGCACTAACCTGAAACCAGAGTGTAGATCTTCTGCACTGCACTCAGCATAACGCGTGCGTGAACAACATCCTGATTTTCAACACCAACGTCAATCAAGTCAGTGCTGCTATATGATTCAGAAACTTGGCATATCACGAAAAGCACTTCCAACAAACAACATCCATCCATCAACAGCTGCCGCCTACGCTGGCTCGTTACTAAAGATCAGATGGCCAGAAAGAATAAGCAACAAGGAGCTCTGGGAACGAACCAACCAAGAATCTACCACCCAACAAATATGCACTGGAAGGAAGTGGAGATGGATTGGAAATACACTGAGAAGACGGTTTGGGGGCATCACGTACCAGCCACCCGTGAGGGTGACATGTAGGGAAGAAATGAAAGCTTGTGGGTAGTCGTATAGCAAGGTTCAAAAGACTGCAGAGAACAGAGTAGAATGGAGGAGTGCTACTGAAGTCCTATGTTCCACTAGGAACCCAAGAAAAAAAATAATAATAAGGATACCACCACCCATAGGGGTCCTAAAATCGATTCAATAAACTATACTACGTTGCATAACATAAATTCAATAAATTAATACATCTATAATCATTGTGACAACTTTTCATAGAAAGATAACTATTAAAAAAGAATCTTATACAACGGTTGTTATATAAATTTTATAAAATAATTAATGATGACAAAGGCTTCAAATGAACACATGTTAAATTATCAATAGACAAAGACAGTAAACGATAACGTATTGAACAATTAACTTTGACAAACAGAAGCTCATGAGCACACACACACACATCATTAACTTGTCAACCTATTCTGCCTATCATCCAATAGTTAATTGAAACCATAAAATACAAATCATGTTGTTTAAATAAGCAACAAAAGACAATTATAAGGTATGCTATGGTATCTATCAAAAATATACGTGAGTTGATATTCATCATGAACTGACATCAGTTGTAAGGACATTGAAGACCTAGATAGCTGTTTCGTCCTAGTATGGTACTCCTCAGTAGCGCGAACCCTTGAGATCGACCACTACAAGGGTGGAGTCATGAATCCACACAGCTGAGGAGTCCCATAATAGCATGAAACCGCTGTTCATTGTTCCCAGGTCTTTA